CAGGCACTTCAGCTGGCATCCTCGCTGGCGAGAAGTTCCTCCGAAAACATCGGCACCAGCTCCTCTATTTTCTCCATCAATTCCTCCATGGAAAGGGAGCTGATAGACGAAAACTGTGGGCTCGTACACTGCTCATCCTGGGCCGCAATCATTTCATTGATAAATGTGCGACAGGGTTCAAACCAGGCATGCTGCAGCGCCTTATCCGCTGTCGGTCGGTCACGCGGGTTAAATGAAAGCAGATTCTCCGCCAGATCAATGATGAGCGACTTCTCCGCATCTTTCCCCTGTAAAATGGGAGTGCGAAGTAATAATTCACGCAGCATCGATTTACGTGGTCGTTTTTCAATCACTGAAAGGGCGTAGTTCTTGGCGTTCACAGAGGCCCGGGCGAATGGCTGCCCCTCGTTAAACACAGTAGCCGGCGGGGTGCCCACCAGATGAAAAATAAGGTTCAACTGATCCGCAGAGTCGTTGCACTTTCCTGGGAAGAGGTGTCGACGAAGGAGCAGCTCACACACAATGACACCTACACTCCACAAGTCGTTTGCGGCATCGTATTCCGCGTCAAGGATGATCTCCGGCGCACGATACCACTGCGTCACGACACCAAAAGAAAGCTGCTCATCCGGATCAAAGAAGCGACTAAGGCCAAAATCACAAACAAAAACCTGTGAATTGTAGTTGATAAGAATGTTACGCGTAGAAAAATCGCGGTGCAGGACATTACATCGGTGCATGGCGCGTAAGGCAAGAAGCAACTGACATGTAATGTAACGAATGATGTTTTCTGAGAGCGCAATAGACTTGCTCTTCACCACCAAAGAGAGATCGGACGGAATGTAATCCATCACCACATACACATCCTTCTCGCGGCTCGTCGGCCGGAAAAGCAGTCGGCATCCCACAACTTGCTCGCAAAACTGCAAGTTTTGCAAAATTTCAATTTCGCGCAGCACACGGCGAAGTGTCTCCTCGCTCTTAACATAATTTGGTATCTTCTTAATGGCAATTTGGTCCGTGCCGTAAACCGCCTTGCAGACCGCGCCGTACGACCCCTGGCCAATGATGGACTCCACCTTAAACACTGGCGGGACATCAAAGATAAGGGGCGCACAGCTGTTCATCTACGCGGTGTTCCCCTCCCTCAGCCCCCGTCCCGTGCACTCCCATCAACCCAAAGCATTGGAGAAGAAAAAAGAAAAAAAAGGAAAAACTGTAAGCAAACAAACAAACAAAAAAAAAGCAATGCAATTCTCAACGCACCCCCCCCTGTGCAAACGAGCTGTTCGCCACCCTCTCTCCCCTGCAGCACTGCTGTGAGAATAGAAATAAAAACAAATAATAAAATAAAAACAAACACGCATGCATGGGGATAAACACAACTTTGTAATCCACCATGAGGAGAGAAAAAAAAAAAAAAAGAAAATATATAAAAAAAAAGATATAGAGCTTTATATATATATATATATATATCTCCATGAGAACAACAATCTCCATAATAGAGAAATTATTCATACAGTTTGGGTATTTGTCTCTTTTCACTGAAGAGGTCAATAACAAAAATAAAAAAACGATTGCCGGCGTAAAACACACAAAAAAAACAAAAAATCAAAAAAAAAAAAGTTTTCTTCATTTTACACCGCAGCCTTTATTGTATTCGCCGTGCCTTGCACAAAAGTCATCTGCAGAGAAATCGTGCAGCTTCACCCAGGCAGGCTTCGCATTTTTGTTTGGCAAATCAAAAAAAAAACTGTTTGTTGCTTTTCTTCAGTTCGACAACACAAATGTGGCCGCGTGTTGCCCTTTGCGACCACGCCCTCAGCTCGCCGTGTAAACGCATTCGCCCCACTACCATCCACTTTGGAGGCAATTCCTCTGGGGGCCAAACGCATGAGAGTTCCCTTTTTTTCTTTTTTCTTCTTTCGTCTGTCTTTCAGCCGTAATTATCGATGTGCTGCCCGCATGATGCCTCCCGCCGCCGGAGTGCTCTTCGCTTCTGCAGCGGCAGGCCGTGCCATTCCCTCAAGTCAGTGTTCCTGCGGCCGCACCCAAAACGCGGGAAGGCCCGCGCAAACACTCGCACCCACGCACACCACGGCAGTGACCAACTGATAAAAACAAATGCAGCCCCAACCCCGTAAAATACAAAACCCAAAACATAAAAAAAAAAACAAAAAATGACACGTACAAAAATAAAAATAAAAATTCCAAGGCTCTTCTTAAATAAGTTGACTTTCTAATACGCCACACGTAGTTCTTCACTGCAGGAAAACATACAAATATATAAGTAATATAAAAATGAAGAAATGCAGGGAAAACAACAACAACAAAAAGACATAAAAGGGGCCACAAAAAACACCTCCCCTAAAAAAAAAAAAAAAAAAAAAAAAAATACTAAAAAAATCCACAAGAATAAAGTAAGAAAATGCACGCACGAAATCCCAGACAACCACTACCTCCAAAGATCATTGCACACATACAAAAAGCAAAGAAAAGCAAAAAGAACGGGTCAAAATAAAAATAAATACAAATACTAGAAAAAAGCAGCAGGAAATGGGGATGCATACGTTAGATGGTACCGAGTGCAATATATACACGCTCCTCCCCAGTACAGAGGGTTAGGGAGGGGGGATTTGCTACACCGCCGTAGCCCACCTCACTCTTTTATTTGATCCCCCCCCCTTCGCCTTCCGCAAATCTCCTCTTTTTTTTCCTTTTCCCTTTTACATTGCCCCCCCCCTCCATTCCCTGCCGTTTTCCCTCCGCGGTGGCGCAATATGACGTCGTGCAGCCAACAACAACAATACCACCAGAGAAATACATGCGAAAGGATCAACACGGAGCGCACAAAAAAAAAAAAAAAAAAAAAACGAAAAACAACAACAAAAAGTGATTCGTCGTCGTTGTTGGAAGAAGGAAGAAAAAAGAAAAGTGTGATGATCACCACGCGCACCCCCCCCCCCAAAAAAAAAAAAAAAAAGATACACAAAAAATCTCTTCCAGAAATAAAAACAAAATTCCTTTTCTTTTCTTTTGCGTGGTTTCTGTCGTGTAATTACTTGCACCCGGAAAGCTTTCCTTTAGTTTTGCGTAGAAAAACTTAAACAATAATCGAGAGAACGACAAAACAACCTCCACACGCATATACACACATCCCGCAGACGTACATGCAAAAAAAAAAAAAAAAAAAAACACAAAAAAAAAACACAAAATAAAAATATTTAATAAATAAAAATAATTACATGTAAATATGTACACATTTGTACGTAAATACGCATATATACAGATATATAATCACGTACATAGGTGAATACACCGATACGCGTATATATAAGTAATATATACTTGTACATATATACATATACATTTATATTTATTGAGGAAACCCACACATAGGAAGAGTAAAAATAATAACAATAAAAAAAAGGCATATGAAATGAACACACAAGAAAAACAATAATGAACATTAATTGCTGTTTGAGGTGAGGAAATTATACCCCAATATTACGGGTTTGCAGAATGGGGGAGGCTTTGATAAAAAGCACAAGCCTCGCCCCCCCATTGAGCACAACACCAACATTTCCATTCCGCACAATTTACAGAGCCTTACGTTTTTTTTCTTTTTTACACCATTCAAATAATTTTCTTGTCTCTCCTTCGCTTTTTTGTTTCTTTTTTACTGGTTCCCCCCTCTTTGCCAATTATGCACAGACACAAAAAAAAGAATCAGATGCAGCAATGAGGTTTTGGAGCCCTCGACACGCGAAATAATTTATTTGCGTTTTCCACACTCGTTGCTATTTGAATCTTTTTTCTTGTTTCTTTGCTGCCGTTTACTCCCTCTCATTATTTGCCCTCAATTGGCGCAGAAACTGCTAATGATGGGAACGACAATTCACGTTAGGGCCCACCTGTCCTCGGGCGCTTTAGACTCTTCTCACTGTCCCCGCCTCTCCTTCTGCCTATTACACGTCCCGCGTCCGCCCGCCTTGCAGCGTGTTCGGAAACGGGATCAGTGCTGCCGCTTGCTCGGCTCCCTGTCGATGTGGACGGGAGGACAGACGCGCGGCTCTCTGACAACACGACCTCATGTGGGTCGCTTTCCGTAGAGCGAGAAGGGCGCCTCCGTGAACTCTCCTCTGACGTCCTTGTCTCCTCGTCACGGTGGCGACGCTGATGCTCCCGTCCTTGATCCCGCGCGTCATCCGTTGACGACAAGGCGGCATTGGCAACAGCAAGAGGCATGCTGTCATCTTCGTTATCCTTGCGCGAGCGTGGGAGATAGGAGCGGCCACGTGTGGGGGCGGTTGCCACCACGGAACGCCCTGAAAAGGAGAGAGCGTACCGTCCGCTGCCTTCACCCGTGCGTGCTCTCCCCCGCCCGGCCGATGCCTGAGGCGTTCCCTGACGGCCCTGATCGCGAAGTCGACGGAGGAATTCTTTCAGGTGGGATTTGTTATCTTTGCGTCGCGACATACTTCCGCCACCTCTTATGCCTTTGGAGCCACCCCCCGTGGCTTCTTTCCTCAATGTCTATTATTGTGTGACGCAGCGGAGAAACAAGAAGAAGAAAAAATAAATAAACGCACCGAATGTTGGTTGCGTAGAAGAAATAAAAAAATTTTAAAAAATAAATGGAAAACAAACAAAAGGCATTTTTTTTTTTTTTTTTTCGGACCTGATGACAATAACAACAACAAAAAAAAAAAAGAAGGAAGAAAAGAAAAAGCACCAATCCACTTGAAGTAAACAAATACACAAACGCTCCCGGTTCGCTCTGAACGGATCGCATATTGTTTCTTCACATGAAACGCGTAGTTAAATAAGAAAATATCAAACTCCCCCTCCTACCCCCTTTCCCCCCTCCCCCACCGTCCCCGATTTGTGTAATCACCCAACTGCTGGAAGTTAGTAATAAAAATTTAAGGCCGTTCAAGTCTCACATAGATGTATTTCTATTGGCCACATTGCATCACACAATTCATGCTATTACTTCTCTAAACAAACAGGCGGTCTGGCAATTGGTGAGGATACGACACCTGCGTGCTGTGGTCAAAGTTTTCTTTAATTGTACGTGCCGAAACCCACCGAGTCAGGAAAAGAGGGCTGCCGGGCTTGTCATTTGAACCACTCGCACGAGCACCACCAAAAGGTTGTTGGCCCACGACCGCACCGGTACATTTGTCATTGATATAGTAGTTCCCCGCGGCGTAACGCAAATGTTTTGTTGTTGCATCACGAATGGCCTGACGATCTTGCGCAAAGATGCTGCCAGTGAGTGCATACTTTGTGGAGCGGTTGACGACATCGCACACATCCGACCAGAATCCTGGCTTGCTGTCATCATACACATGCACCGTTAAGATGGGTCCAAAGATCTCTTCGTGCATTAGCTGTGCCTGACTGTCCTTCGATTCAACGATTGTTGGTTGCACAAACCAACCCTCCGTCTTATCGTATCCACCACCAGCAATAACAGAATACGTTGATGGACTCGATTTGGCAATATCTATATACTTTTTATTCCGTTCAAAGGCAGTTTCATCGATAACGGCGCACATAAAGCTCTTGAAATCATCTGGCTGACCCATCTTGAGCTGTTCGTGCACACCAAGCATATAATTCTTCAATTCTTCCCATCGGCTCTTGGGGGCATATAGCCGCGAAGTGGCGCTACACTTCTGGCCCTGAAATTCAAACGCCCCACGTACTGTCAAAGCCGCCGCAAGTTTCAAATCGGCGCTCGGATGAACGAGGTGGAAGTCTTTTCCACCCGTTTCACCACTTATACGTGGAATGTTGCGGTACTCCTCCAATCGTGCGTAGATTTGTTTGTTAATAGACATAAAAACTTTCGTCGAACCGGTGAATGCAACTCCTGCCAGATCGCGGTGGGAGTTCACAAAATTGGTCATGACGTCTGGTTCGCATGGCAAGAAGTTCACCACACCCGCGGGTAAACCAGCCTCCTCGAATACTTTATACAGCAAATAATTTGAAAGCACCGCATGAGGGGATGGTTTCCAGAGTACAACGTTACCCATCAATGCGGGACAAGCAACGAGGTTTGCTGCGATCGCTGCGAAGTTAAATGGCGCAATGGTTGACACAAAACCCTCAAGTGGGCGGTAGTCAAGTGAGTTCCAAACGGCTCCGCTGCTTGGGGAGAGTGGCTGATCGCGGTACAAATTCTCCGCATAATGCACTGAGAAACGTAGAAAGTCGCACGATTCCGCGATCACGTCAATCTCCGCCTGAAAAGGACTTTTGCTCTGTCCCAGCATAGTCGCCGCCCGCAGTTCATGACGGTACTTTGTCGAGATAAGGTGGGCCGCATGAAGAAAGATGGCCGCACGATCTCTGAAGGATGTCTGGCTCCACTCGCGTGAAGCTTGTAGTGCGGTGTCAATGGCCTTCTGTGCCAACTCTGGCGTGGCATTGTACGACGTTGCAAGGTGTTTCTTGTGGTCGGACGGGATCGTGCGGCGAATAACATTGTCAGTGCGGTACTCCTTCCCGCCAATCACAATTGGGCAGTCCGTTACACTCTCGCGCATACGCCTGCATGCCTCCAGAGTACCATTCGCAGAGACACTTCCAGCTTCAAATGTGTCCATTGGCTCATTCACGATAGTTGGGCATTTCGCGTACGCAAAAGCGAATTGCAGTGTGCGACGTAACATAGTAATACCCCTTTTTATTTACTTATTTTTCTTTTTGCTTTGTGTTCTTTTTCTTGAAGAATGACTGTGTCGTTATTCTTTGGTTTGGTTTGCTTTTTTGCTCTCTTTCCCAGATTTCACCCTCGTTAATAAATTGCCATTAGAGAATAATAATAAGAAAAAAGAAAACAACAACAACAAAATGTAAAGAAAATAAATGTACGCAAATAAACACGGGCTTGAGGGCCGTGGTTTTGTTATAATTGACGTTACCCGCCCGACCCTCTACTTTTTTTTTTTTTTTTTGCCTCTCCCAGGCCCCTTGAAAAGAAGAAGATCTGCAAAGTCTTTATTTACGAACAGCCTCTCATTTATTCCATCAACAGTATCAGAATCATTTTTTTTTTTTTCTTTCTGCCATTGTTACAGAAAGCAGATTGCAGAATTGAATTTGGAAGCGTGTGAGAGCCCCCTTTCTAGACTGCCAATAATAAGCACTCATGCATCCTCCCCATTGAGGAAACTCAAGTGCATTGGAAATAACGTTTCATCAACGGGGTCATGCTCACATGTCCACAGCGTAAACATTAAGGCGTTTCCTTTTCTTGGTGCAGCTGTTCCTGTTATTGGGAAAAAACACACTCCGATTTTTAAAATAAATCCTTCTTGTTGTTACTTTTGCCTTTTGTTCCCCCGCACGCTACTTCAAGGGACAATCCCGAGAGATATGGCCACTCTTGCCGCATATGTGGCACAAATCACTTGGATGCGGTCTTGGCGATCTGGAACGCTCCCTGCCGCGATCCTTCGAGCGTTCTCGCTTGCGGTCACTTCCTCGGCTATGTTTCTCCTTCTTCTTCCAGTACTTCGCCTGCTCCTTCTCCAACTTCTCCATGAGCTTGCGGGAGACTTTGATGATGTGCAGATAGTTGCACTGTGCCCCGCGTCCACACTTTCCCTCAAGATCTTCCTTGCAGCAGGCGTCGGCAAAGTTGGTGACAGGACTCAGCTCCGGAAGAAGAATAATTTCGTTTAACTTTTTCGCCTTTAGTTCCCGCGCAATGTGAGACGCGTCCGCGGCTTCTTCAAAGCGAATGTACACATTCCCGAGGAGGTGGTCGCCCAGATTGCTCACAACACGCAACTCTGCAATTCTGCCTAGCTCCATGAAGGTGCGCCATGTTTCCTTGTAAAAGTGCTCAAAGTGCCGCTTCAAATACTTTCGGTCAAAATGAAAGTCCCACTGGCGATCCTGAATGTGCTCAATCGCCATCGGGTTCGGGTACATCATCGGAAAGAGAACAGTCGGAGACGACGTCGGGCGCACATGGACCTTCGTGCAGTGATCACCGTGGCGGCAGGCGCCCATTTTGGAAAAGAAAATGCAGCGATCCTGATACATCACTCAACCAATGGCAAAATAATGGCCCAAGATAATAATACAAAAGAAAAAAAAAAGTAATGAGAAAAAAAACAGTTGCTTTTTTTTTCTTTTTTTTGATCGTGCCGTGCTCCTTCTATGCGTTTTACAGCCGCGGAATAACTATTGATATGTATGTGTTATCGTTTTCTGTCTGTATTTATTGCGTAAAGGTGAGAAGTACGTAAAAAACAAATACCTGCAAATACTCCTCGGGTATTATTGAGTTGCTTCTTTGGTTTGTTTTACTCACAGGTAGTGACTGTCGGAGAGTTGTTGTTTTTTGGAGGGGGGCAGAGGGGGAAGAGAACGCCGCAGAGGATTGTGTGTGAGGCTCTACGCCCAGCAAAAAGGATGCAAACGTGCAACGAGGCAGAAGAAGGAGAACAAGAGAAGAAGTAATGAAACGACAGCAACAACAAAAACAACAAAATCTTCTTTTCCTTTAGTTTATTCCTTCACTTGTTACTTTACTTCGCTTGCCTGCTTACTTTAAAAAAAGAAAAAATAAATACTCCGCTGGCAGTGGCACCCTCTTGCGGCCGCTGCTGCGTCATGATCCGTCTTCGCATGCGGCCCCCTTCTCTTGTCCTTCACTAAGAGACTTCTGCGGAAGCAACAAAACAAAAATAAGTGAAAAAAGGTAGCGGAATGAAAAGTAAAAAAATAAATAAAAATAAAAAGTATATATATATATATACTGAGAGGTGGAGTCGAATTTCTCTTCACCAATTGCCTTCTTTCCAGCTCCATCTCACACACACACACACACACCCGCTTCCCCAATATATATTCTATAGTTATGCTGTATCTGTATGTATGGTAATCGCCCCTCCTTTTTTTCCATGCCAAATACCACAAAAGAAGATGTACACCGTACCTGGAGGGGGATAAGAAGTATGGGAATGTAGAGCAATTTCTATGAAATTCTGTCACTCACTCACTCACTCAATCGCCATATGATACCACCGAGAGTGAGCTCTCAGAATCCACGAGTGCATCGCAACCATTGTTGTGTGTGTACAATGGTCCTTCCGAGTCAATGCATGCCGTGACAGAGTCCACACGGCTCAGTACGTCAATGGAAAGGGCACTGCAATCGTATGAAAACTCTGAGCGCGGGCAAAGCGTGTGGCCGTAACTGACATGGCGACCCAATGTTGTCACGGCACAGCGTAGTGCACTTTCCAAAAGAGCGTGTAGGCGTTGTTGTTTGTTGTCATTCCGCCTAGTTGGATAAAAAAAGTCCTGTATGGCCAGACGCGTCGACTGTATTGCTGTCACCGTCTTTGTAAGCCACCAATCCCTTGCCGTTGACTCAAGCACCGCGACACTCTGACACCACACATACGGCACGTCACAAAACGTCATGCACGACCGTGTGTAGCAATGCGTCACGGTACTATCCCCACTGTCTCCCAAGAGAAGAACGGGGTCCTGCTGCCGTGTAAAAGGCCTTCCAGCAACGGCACACAGGAGGCACCCGGCATGGCGGTGTACCACCGACACAAGACAATACGCGGAAGCGCACGACAAAACATCTGAGAACTGAAGCGACTCCACGAGCCGGCGGAACACCGCATCTTCTACGCAATCCTTTTTGCTGCAGTCAAACACATACAGGACAAGCTCGCTGTCCGATGTTTCCTGTACCCTCGTGCAAAATTCCTCAGGGGTGCACTTTCGCGTGCTATCCCTTACGGCTTGGCTGCGTCGCTTTGGCTGCGCGACCCCCTCCAACGCCTTGCCAAGCTGTTCAGAGGCAATCCACATGTCAAGACCATCGGCAAATTGTCTCCCTATCATAGTCGCACTAACACTACCGGAAGACAACGCGCTGCAGCAGCGTTCATGTATACGAATGTCTTCCTTCACCGTGAAGTTAAAAAGCATTCCACAGAGGCCACACTTCAAGACACCGCCAGCATTGTTTTGGCCAAAGTCTAAAGACGTTTGCACAGCAGCTTGCGGGCTCCTAGCACCGTTGCGCATCCGCCTCGTTTTCTCCGCGCAACGCAAGAAAGTGGGGGGGCGACTAGGTGCCCCGTCGCCGACATTCTCCTTGTCTATCTGCGGCGCTGCGGCGTGGAAAGCAACATCTGACGCACAATGACGGAGAGGCATTTTGCTTGTTGTTGCCGCCAACGAAGAAGATGTCGCTGCTGATGTTTCCAGCGCCAGCGGGAGCCCGTCATTCACTCCCTTTGTCGCCCCATGGGCCCAGGGATCGGCGGTGGGAGAAGCGGAAGCCACATCCAGAGCCTCCTCCCGCCCCTTGGAAAAGTACTCAAGGAGACTTCGCTGGCGCTTCATTTGTTGTTGTTCTTTGGTTTGGCTGAAGCATTAAACAAAATAATAACAATAATAAAGGAGGAAATCATTGTGACCAACAAGCCCAACAGAGTTATCGGGAAAAGGGATCGGAGAGTGCAGTCAGCCAGCCCCCTTCCAAAAAAAAAAAAAAAAAAAAAACAGCCCACATAAAAATAGAGAAAGTAATTCTCCTCATCACCCATCGAGTGCATTAGGATGCCAAATTGGCCTGCATGTCTCTTTACAAAAAAAGGGTGTAGAGGCGTAAACACAAGCACACAGAGAGACACACACAGACACAAAGAGAAGTGCCTCAGAGCTTTAGCGTAGCTGTTTGAGAACAATTTCACGGTACTCGCTAAAGTCCCCGTCGAAGCGCTTGATGGTGTTGTTGGCGCAGACATACATCTCATCACAAAGAGACGTAATAAAGTGTTCGTCGTGGGAAATCACTAGCAAACCACCCTTAAACTCCAATAGTGCCTCAATAAGCGCATCCAGAGAGTCAATGTCAAGATGGTTTGTGGGCTCGTCCAACAAGAGCAGGTGCGGACGAGTGAAGGTGATCCACGCCAGCACAACACGCGACTTTTGGCCACCAGAGAGCGTGTAAATAGGCTGTAGCGCCTTATCACCCGTAAGGCCAAGAGAACCAAGATGGGCGCGTAACATCTGGTCCTCCACGTGTGGAAACTTGGAGCGCATAAACTCAATCGAGGAGAGTTGTGGTGATAGAAACTCCAGGTGGTGCTGCGCGAAGTGGGCAACGCGGATTTTTTTGTTACGCACAACATGACCCTGGCGTGGTTCCAGCTTGCCGTAACAAAGGTTCATAAAAGTCGACTTACCCACACCATTTGCCCCCAAAAGTCCAACACGGGAGTTTTCATCGAGGCCGAAGTTAACATCCCGGAAAAGTGTCTGGCCAGCTTTGTACCCAAATTCACACTCTACCATCTGCAGGTACGCTCCTGGCACGGGTTCCGGCTCGGGGAATTTAAAGGTAAACTGTGGATCGTATTTGATCGCCGCCACAACCTCCATGCGTTCAAGCATCTTAATGCGGGACTGAGCCATCTTTGCACGGTTTGCATTGTACCGAAAGCGGTCTATGAATTTTTGGATATGGGCACGCTGTCGTTCCTGTGCCTCGTGGTTCTTCTGTTGCTGCCGTAACTGTTCCACCCGTGTCACCTCAAACTGCTCATAATTCCCCGTATAATAACGCAGTTGTTTGTCATCGAGGTGGATAATCTCCTGGCAGACATTATTCAAGAAGGAGCGAGAGTGAGAGACCACCACAAGTGTGCGGCGCCAGTCTTTTAAAAACTGCTCAAGCCACAAAACGGCAAAGAGATCCAAGTGGTTCGTCGGCTCATCCAAAAGAAGAACGTCGGGCTCCACATACAACGCGCGTGCCAACGCCACTCGCATACGCCAACCACCTGAAAGATTCTTTGTAGGAGATGACATCATCTCACGTGTAAAGCTCAAACCATTCAAAATGGATGATGCACGAGCCTCTGCACTGTGGGCCTCGATAGCATCCAGTCGTTCATACACTTCCTTAAGCCGTGTGCTTGCCTCATCATCGTTACATTTTAAAAGATCCTGCTCTTCTCGCAGCAACTGTTCACGTTCAACGTCCGCGGCAAGAATCACCTGTAATGGCGTTTCGTTGCCTGCCACCACCTCCTGTTCCACGTGTAAAATCTGCACAAAAGGACTCACGCCTTCCAATTCTCGCTCTGTGAGAGCCCGCAACAGAGTCGTCTTACCCGTGCCGTTTCGACCAACAAGACCATATTTGTGACCCGTTAAAATATTAAGATCCGTGTTGTCAAGCAGAACGTTCTTGCCCATGTGAATATGAATGTTTTCGCAGCGAATGTCACTGGAGTACGATCCTCCCTCATTCTTGTGGTGCAGTTTCACGATGGCGGTGGCATTGGCAATGCCTCGTTTGCGCAAAAATTCCTCATATTCCTCCGCCATCATTGATTTCTTCTCCTCCTCCTTTCGTTTTCTGCGTGTCTCCTTCGCTGCGTTGCGTTTCGTCTCCCACGTCCAGTCTGCATTTGTATTTATCATCGTTACTTTACCAACGTTATTTATCATTGTCGCTTTCTTTAGGTTTTCTTCATATTGCCGCCCAATACTAACAGCATTAACCAGACGACTTATATCCTCCTTTGGCTTCTGCGCCAAGCCCCGTGTCTCCATCTCGCTGCAGATCGCATCCACCGCCTTGTTCAGGGCGTCCTCACTGGGACAGACGGCGAACTCAGCGAGGTAGAGTTTGAGTGTGTGACGAATTGTCTCCTCCGGCAGGTACGATGCGGGGTTCATCTGCCCCTCAAGCATCTTCAACAGGTACTCGAGCACGCACTCATCCAGCTGCCGCAGACCGACCTCTGGCACATTGTCCTGAAAGACACGTACGACGTCGGGGTGACGTGCATCGAGTACAGCCTTCACCTGCAAAAGGTCCATCTACAAACCGATGTGGACAAACAAATTGGCCTCTTTTCTCTCCGTTTTACCTTCTCCTTCAAAAATTGTGGCAAAAAACAAATTCATGGAGAGAGGGGGGAAAAGCAAAAAAGAAAAAAGAAAAAAAAAGAAGTACTTGTGGATAAACATACACCAACATGCACATAACTCGCCTCCTCCAGAAAGGGCACAAAAAAAAAATAATAATAATCAGAACAACAAAAACAAGAAAAATCCCTCACTCTACGTATCCATCGACAAGCCACGGTGCTCCAGCTCCGCCCTCCACTGCTCCTTCTCCAAGGAATACAACTCCAACAACGCTCGGTGCCGCGCATGGATCGCCTCTACTTTTTCCACTCGCTCCAGCTCCCGGCGCTCATCTCCGGCGGCGCCACCCGCCATGCGCTTCCCATTTTTGCCGGAAGCCAAAAGCAACTTTACATGAGCTCGCGCCTCTTCGTCCAACAGCCGCAGGCGTTCTTCTTGAATTACCTGGTCACGGATCGTGGCAAAGACGTGCTCTGGCAAGATGTCCCGACGCTTGTTAACATCGTGCAGTGCACCAAATTTGCCGCCCGGACGCACCCCTGAGATGTGGGAGTCACGGTCTTTACCGCTGGGATAATATCGCATGATTCTTTTTTTTCTCTCTCTCCCCTTTTTTTTTTTGTTTAAAACCCCAAAACGGAATAAGAACGAAGGAAATATATATGTACAGGTATACATAGATGCACATATATATTTAGTCATGCACGCAGAGTTGAGAGAATTCGTGGAAGCGAAGAAATCACCTGCACAAAAACAAAAAGACAACAACAACCTCTCATGGCAAATTCAAATATCCGTCCAATTTCGCTTATGCAATTCATAGAACGAATGAAATAAAGGAAAAAAGTGAAACGGCCCTTCATTTGTCATTTCTTCTTTCCGTTCTTTACGCCACCACTTTTGGCACGTTGCGATTGCGTAGACGCGGTACCGATCTGCGGCACCACCTTGCGAAGCTTGAAAGCATCGCACTCTTCAAGGCCAGTATAGTATTTCGGTACTTTCTCCACCACTTCAAAGCCAAAACTCTTGTAGAATTCCATGGCACCAGATCCCACCTGCACGTGAAGCGTCACTTCCCGAATGCAAAGCTTTGTTTCCTTTGCCACGTTTCTCAGTATGGTATCGAGCAGGTGGCTGCCAATACCCAATCGACGATACGGCGCAAGCACAGCAATAGTCATGACGTACAAACGATACTCGTTCTCGTTCGTTGTGCTCTCCAGACGACAAGTGCAGCTACCGACAAGCATGTCATAATATAGTGCAATCTGATTGTACTGATGGCCACACGGCCGCAAGTACGTATCATAGTAGGAGTCCGAGTACTTGACGGCAAGGCAGTATTGGTCTAGGATGCGAATACGCTCAACCACACGAGGGTCGTCCAGGGTTCGGATCTGCAGACCCTCCACGGGACGCAGCTCAGGACCCACATATCTACTTTGGTTCACGGCGGCATTATTGGCGGCGACCATGACTATTTTGTTTTATGTGGTTTCCTTCTCGTTCGATTTGCTAACCCCGTCGTTTTTCTTTTTTTTCTCTCTCTCTTTCCTTCTTTATTGTTCTTGTCGTCTAAAGTCGCCTGGCGGCAGCTCTAAAAAAAAAAAAAGAGAGAGAGACGGAAAAACCAGAAACAGCAGCAGCGATAACATCAAAACGCCACTCCGCATCAGCAGCAGACACACACACAATATATGTATTACAGTAAGAAATACTAGCCAAAAAAAAAAAAAAAAAAAAAAAACAACAACAAAGTACCAGCAAATAAATTACAACAAAACGACGTTGTTCCCCCCCCCTGCGGGAACACATCAAATTCCGAGGCTGCCACCAACACCATCACAACCCCTCCGTCGGGTAATATCCAAGAGTCCATTTCAGCAACACAGAGAGGGGTACCTACAGTGAAAAGAGGCAATTGCCGCCAAGATACGTCAGCGGCAAACACACACAGAAAAAAAAAAGCCCACGACAACATCATCATCATCGCGGAAAGTCGAATCGGCAGTTAACTATGAAAATTTCAATGTATTCTGCTGATTCCTACTCTGTCTTCAGCGTGGTATCTTGATCAAGGGACTGACGTATTTTGTCAAGTACACGTTCCTCTTCCGCTCGCCGAGCATCCTCTGCCATCTCAGAATAAAGCCAATTCTTCAACTCACCCGCTAGTTTTCCAATATCCGCAGCACGCAACCTTGCGATACGTCCTGGAGTCTGCTCCTCCGTCTCACCGTTCGTCGTAACAAGAGACGTATCGTTATGATCGCCACTCGTAGGGGCAGCACGCGTATCATCCACAATGACTGCCTGTATCTCTACACTGGCATCATTTGCATCTGCCTCACCCTGTACAGAGCGCGATGACAGCGGCGGTGATTTCTCCTTGATCATTCCTGATGGTTGAGTGATCTTTGCGGTCACCGCAGTGGCTAATTGACGATGTGCACAACGTAGTTGTTGACGCAAATCGGCTATTTGTGCTTCGTAGACAGCTTTCAGTCGCTCCTGCTCTATAGCCATTGCATCCACGGTATTGTGCGTATGCATGTCAACGACACGAGCGCCACGTTTCATTTTGTCAAGACGCCCTTTCAACTTCTTTTCATTCTCCTCTGCTGAATTCAACTGCAACCTCAGCCTGTTTATTTCATCAAGCTGTGAAGTAATCACCCGCCGGGCCTCTTTTAATTGATCCCCGATAGTTTTGTTGCGCGTGCGAAGATATTCATTTTCCTTCCGCATATCCTCCAATAACAGCTCTGCCTCGTGCAGCTTACGCTCCACGGTATGTGAAGGCAGTATAGCTAAATTTTTTGATGTTTCCACAGCGGTCGTTTTCTTCTTTTGTGGCTCCCTTCCACTTTTTTCAACATTAAAGCTCGCAAGCAACAACTCCTGTGAAAATTTCTGATTCGTTTTTTCCGGTATTTTTTGTCGCTGCGACTGTAAAGAGCCATACTTTGGCAGGTTATGATCGTGGATGTGGTTTTTTTGGCCGCATTCGGATAAAGCCGGCATGTCTCCAGCAGCTGTTTCTGGCGCTGCCTCCCCTCGTGTCGAGTAACATTTGGGCCTAACTTTCTTTGAGGGCGCGGGAACTTCTGTCCCTCGCGCGGCTCGCTCTTGAAGGCAATTATTCCCATCTAGAGTGCCTTCCATTGGCGTTGCAGGGGGGAAAGTAGCATGTGTCACAGCGTCGCTCATGGGCGGGGGACTCTTCCTTGACGTGTCGAGTGAGACTGGCGCCAGCGTCAACTTTTGAACCTCCTTTGGGGTCGAAGGACATGCCGTCTCGGCGCGCAGGAGGGGCACACCATCCAGGGAAAGCACGGACAGCTGCAGGCGCGCCACAAGAGTTCTATATCCATTCATATTAGCTACAGGGTTTTCTCGCAAGGAAAGCATCTCCAAGCATGTTGTGGACGACAGAAAGTGAAGTTCGTTCGCGTTGTCTATTAAGTTATGGTCAAGACTCAATAAACGCAGCTGCGCCATGCTCTCAAGGCCAATGGTCGATACAATACGGTTTCCTCCCGCACGGAGTACTTGCAGGGGCTGCGAGCGCGAGAGTCCCATCAAGTTCTTTAGGCAATTATAGCTCACGTTCAGATCACGCAAGTGCGGCAGCGAGCCGATACCCTCAAGCGACGGTAGACTGTTGTGGGACAAATCCAGTTCCGTGATTGTGACAGGAAGAAACCCGATTCTAGCGATTTTATTGTAGCTCACATTGAGCCGTGTTAGAGCCGTCAGTGCGTCCAGCTGATGCAGCTGCTCAATATTGTTGTGGGATAGATCAAAGGAGGTGATGAGGGCGAGAATCTCCCTGTCCTGGCGAGTCAAGAAGACCGCGGCAAGATCAATTTCCTTGATATTCCTGCTCTGCCCAGACACATGCATCTCCGTCGCTGAAGCCGCCGGCTGGATAACGGAGTACATCGCCTTACATGTACTGCGTCAAAAGAGCACAAAGGCAAATCCAAAAAGCAAAAAAAAAAAAGGAAAAAAAAAAAAATAAAGCGATAAAGGTGATGAAGATGTCAACGCACGCACCGTTCACATCAAAATCCTTTCACTCGCATTGCCTCTTTGATTTGCTTTTCTCCAAAACTACTGTTCTTTCTGGAAAAAAAAGAGCTCGGCTTCCACCACCAATACAAATGTAGATGGAAAGGGGGAGGCTGTGTCGTTTCAGCTTAGACACATACAGACACGCAAGGGGAGAGAGGGAGAGAGTGGGTCAGTGAAAAAGATACACGCAATTCCTCCATCACCCTCGCCCTCTTCTTCTTCATGAAAAAAAAAAAATGTATGTATTTCGAGCTTCAATAAACAACGGTATCAAGCTGAATCGTCTATAATGGGCGTCCGACTACGCCGGTGTCACAGACGCCAGGAGGACTGAAAGATTACGTGCAAATGGTGTCGCACCATCTTGAACCACGGAACGACTCGTCGTCTGTGGCGTCACAGAAGCACGCTTCGTCGACGGGCAGCTTAGCGTATAGGGCGGTCGTGATTCCGCCCGGACAAACCACACCTCGTCTTGCTCGTACTCCTTCTGTTCCATAAGTCGATTTTGTATTTCATCCTTCAATGCACTCGTGTGGGCCGTGGTCTCAGGAAGCTGCACCGAAGTCTGCATTTCCTTCCGTAACTCCACAATTTCCCTCTGCAACCTGTCCCTGTCTTGGGTGACACTCAGGACGAGCGTTTGCATCGCCTCACAAACATCATGGACACCTGTTGGCTCCGACTCAATGTCAAAGGTGTCATCCGCACCCTGCTGCACTAAAACCGCAGATTCTTCATCAGCGCGAGCGTACCATAATTGACGCCGCGTCAAAAGTTGCTCAACTTCTTCTGCTGACTCAGCCTCAGCAATTGCAAACGATGCACGCTCAGCTTCGTGGATAGAAGCGCAAAGGGATTTCCAATTCAACTCGCGCTCAATAGTCTTCTTTGCAAGACGACGAAGACGCATCTCTAGTTGGTGAACACGTTGTCGAAGGTTCTTCTCATTTGTATGCAGGTCTGCCAGCTGTTTTTCAAACTGCTGCTGTCGCCTCTCCATCTCTGTCTCCAACTTGGACAGATCCACGCATGCCGTTGAAGCTGCCACACCAGGCGAAAAGGAGGAGGGGGACACCCTCTGGAAGCCTCGAAGTTTTTTTGCAATAGTACCTGGCGTTGACGGCAATTCGGCGGCTGCCTCAGAAGCAGAATTACAGTTGCTTCCAATATCAGCGCCGCCGCTGTGACTGTGATGATTGCCATCAACAATTTTTTTTTCCAGTCGCTGCCACTCCATGGCGGCTACGTCACACGCCGTCACAAGACGTGTCTCTATCACATGATACGCTGACACAATGAGCCAAAGCCACCTCTGAGCCTCACGCCGTCTCCGTGGCGAGTCCCGCAAAGCGTCCAAAATGACGCCGTGCAAAGAGGTAGCCGTTTCATGAACATTAACAACCTCGCCCGTTTCTGTGTCCACCACATCTTTTAACAATTCCTCCGCAAAGGACCCTGTCAAGGGGATCTGATTGCAACGCTCTTCTCTCGTCTTTTGAAGAATGCGTCGCAGGTACATCAGTTCCTCCTCTAATATAGCCACCCGCCGCTGCTCCTCCTCCAGTTTTTGCTTCGTCGCGTCTTTTCCGTTTGGCATGGCCGAAAATACGTTGACCGAC